TTTATAATTAAGTGTTTTGGCAGACCACGCCGAGTGGCCCTATGCATTTTTCTAAAGTCGGGTTTTATTCGAACTTTTGCTAACGACAAAAGTTTATCTGTCGTCTCTGTCTCCGTGAACTGCGCGTCACAAAAATGAACCGAAAGCCACTTCAGCTCAGTCACTATAAGAAATCGGCTATGTCTAAAGCCTTTAAATGTCTAAATATTCAGGCTAATAAATGTTATCTGATTATGTAATCCATATGAAAACGAGAGGTACAGAGGATCTACTCAAACATGTAGCCTATGTAAGCGCTTCCCAATGAGAAAATGACAAGACAAGGGTGAAAATCTCGCTCTAATTAAATGTAGCAGGCTAAATCGCCCTGAATTAAAATGTAAAAACAGATCAAATAATGTATTTGTCGAAATGTTGCGATATTGTTTCATTTAAGTTCATAATTATTATATAGATGTTATTTATGCGCTTGACGCGCGCTTAGCCTCTTGGCTGAGCGAATGTATTCCAAATTACGATGATCAGTCCATACAACAAACGGGACTGAAGAACCCTCTAACCAATGACGCCACTCACCGAGAGCCAAACGGATGGCTAGAAGTTTGCGATTACCGACGTCATAATTGCGCTCGGCGGGAGACAAGCGATGGGAAAAAAAGGCGCAAGGATGGATCTTCTCATCGGACGCTGAATGTTGGGAGATAATGCCTCCCACGCCCACCTCAGAAGCGTCGACCTCGACGATAAACTGTCTGGTGATGTCAGGAGTAACGAGAATAGGAGCGGTAGTAAACAGGGACTTGAGCCGATCAAAGGCAATTTGAGCAGCATGCGACCAAGAGAAATGAGTCTTGGCAGACGTGAGAGCAGAGAGCGGGGCGGCGACCTGGCTAAAGTTCCGAATAAAACGACGATAAAAATTAGCGAACCCCAGGAACCGCTGGAGCGCGACACGGGAATCGGGAACCGGGAACAGGCCATTCCGTGACGGCACGAACCTTGGTAGGGTCCATAGCAATCCCCTCGGAGGAGATGACCGAACCAAGGAACGTGATGGACGAAGCGTGAAACATGCACTTCTCAGCCTTGACAAATAAGCGATTCTCAAGAAGACGCTGGAGAACCTGACGAACGTCCTGCGTATGTATCTGGAGAGAGGGAGAAAAAATTAAAATGTCGTCGAGGTAAACGAAAACAAAGATGTTTAACATGTCTCTAAGGACATCGTTGACAAGGGGCTGAAACACGGCAGGAGCGTTGACCAGGCCGAACGAAAGAACGCGATATTCAAAGTGCCCTAAAGGCGTATTGAAAGCTGTCTTCCACTCATCCCCCTCCTTAATGCGGACGAGATGATAGGCATTACGTATATCTAGCTTTGTGAAGATCTTAGCCCCCTGCAGGATCTCGAAGGCGGATGACATCAGAGGCAAGGGATAACGATTCTTGACTGTGATGTCATTCAACCCACGATAATCGATGCAGGGGCGTAACGTACCATCTTTCTTCTTAACGAAGAAGAAACCGGCCCCCGCAGGAGAGGATGAGGGAACTATGGTACCAGCTTCGAGCGAATCAGATAGATATTTCTCGAGGGCTTCACGTTCGGGTGCCGACAAAGAATATAATCTGCCCCGGGGAGGAGAGGTCCACGGTAGAAGATTAATGCTGCAGTCATAAGGACGATGGGGAGGGAGAGAAGTGGCCCGGGAACGACTGAAAACCGTTCGCAGATCATGGTACTCCTCCGGAACTCCAGACAAATCACTGGGCTCCTCCTGAAACACAGAAACAGAAGACACAGGAGGAGAGGCAGACACTAAACAATTTACATGACAAGGTAAATTCCAAGAGAGAACGGAACCTCTGGCCCAATTAATCTGAGGATTATGCTTGACTAGCCAGGGGTGTCCCAAAACAACGGGGGTAAAAGGGGAGTGAAAAATTAAAAAAGAAATGTTCTCTCGATGATTACCCGAGACAGTGAGACTCACCGGAACCGTGGAACGGCGTACTCTGGCGAGAATACTACCATCGAGAGCGTAAACCGGGGTGGAATCCTTTAAATCAATAAGGGGAATCCCCTGAGTGCGAGCCCACGTCTCGTCGACAAAACTTCCCTCGGCCCCAGAGTCAATGAGCGCAGAGCAGGTGACGGCCGAGCCCGGCCAGCGGAGATGTACCGGGAAAGTAGTGCGATGGCATGGCGGAGGGACTAAAGTCGAAGTGCTCACCAGTAGCCCTCTTCTCACTGGTGAGCTCTGGCTTTTACTGGACAAGAGGACTGAAAGTGAGAAGCAGATCCACAGTACATACAGAGGCGTTCGGTTATCCGGCGCTGGCGTTCTGCCGCGGAGATTCGTAATCCTCCTAATTGCATGGGCTCCGTATCAGCGAGGGCAGAGGAGGATGAGACAGGTGCAGGGAGGAGTGATCTATCCAAGCCGCGAGCCCGGGCTTGCGCTTTCCAAGTGTTGGAATGCATGAGTCGTCCTGACGCTGTCCAGATACGCTACACAACTATGGTCGCAAGTTCCGTCGTTGTCAGCATAGTTCAACGAGTCGATGTTTCCGAAACCATCGTTCCAACGAACATTCGCAAACAGCATCGCAAAGTTGTGTGGTTGAAAACGACAGCTTTTGAGCTGTGGTTAGAAGCATAGTTTCTAGATTGCATGACATGTGGACTTAACCCTCTGGGGTCGGCGGTATCGCCGGCGATACCAGCTCACTTTTTTTCTTATATGTGCAAAAGAGACTCAAAATACTCTGCTGATTTTGATCTTACATATAAGTGTTATACATTATTCGATCCTGTTAAGTGTCTATTTTATTTTGTGTATACTCACAATAAAAACAAAGTGTTGTGCTTTTTGTCAAATAAAGTAAAATAAACATGATGCGAATTTTGCCTTCTCTCTGTCAGTGAAGTCCATTCTGAAACGCATCCGAAAATGAACTGTAACTCAGTCAATACTTGTCACAGAGACACGAAATATTTCTCTTTATGAAGCTGAAATTCTGTTCTTTTAAATGAAGTAATGTATATAAAAAACAAATATTCTCAGTTTATGTAATCTGTATGAAAAGAGAGAGATGTCAGTCTTTTTCCTTTCAGCTCATTATAGCGTATGACGTGTTAATGTGACACGCCCACGGAGAGCGCACGCTATTCAAACGCAAATGTTGAGGCAAGCCATAAAAACGCCCACATCAGCTGGATAAAACATCCAGTTTAATAAGAATCTTGTACTTTACCTAGTCTTGCTGCGCTGCGAGGAATAATACTATCGTAATAATCCTGGAAAAGTTACCTCAGAAGTGCTGGTAGTTTCATTTCGAGGAGCACGGATTCAGCTGATGTAGTAAGTTATTTATTCTTAAGTGCTTTGTTCTAGTCGCGTTATTGAATAGTGTCTGTAAACTGCACAAAGACTGTTTAAATATGAATTGCGTGTCAGTGTGTGAATGAATAAATGGCACAGACGCGCGCGCAATGTTGTTTACTACAGCTGTACATCGCATTCTGTGCGTTCATTCACTCTCGCTCCTACATTAGTAAACGTTATTTTTACATGAACACATCCAAACTATATTGTTATAGCCCACTGAGATTTGTTCTAATCGCGATATAGAATAGTGTCTGTAATGACAACATTTCGTTGACTAGTTTTGGATAGATTATAAAGTTTTTACTATAAAATAGACATCAAATAAGCTTTTGTTAGACAGTTTCTGCTCATATGTTAAATATATAGTATGTTTTGTCAAAAATAAACTAATCAACTGTTATAGTGTTTGTTCCAATGCAAGCTATATCAAAACAATGAATCCTTAACTTTGAAATATGTATGATAAAATGTATTGGCCTACTTAAAAAAAATAATACTTTATAAAGACATTTTCTTTTCAAGATGTTTTCAACTCTAACTTTGAACCAATTCTGTAGAATGGCCCATATAACCTATTTGAACAGGATTTGTTTCCAGGTATGACTAAAAATGTGCTTTTGACATTCATTTATATTTTGATATATATATATATATATGTGTGTGTGTGTGTGTGTGTGTGTGTGTGTGTGTATATACACACACACACACACACACACACACACACACACACACACACACACACACACACACACACATATTTATATATAGTCCTTGCATTCTTTCTTGTGTGACACATTATTATGCGGGTCTTTGTCTTCTCAGGTGCAATATGCGTGTGGTTCACGCCCCCACGCATATTGCCTTTCCAAACAAAAAAATGTTTTTCACAATTTAAAACAATCTATTGTTGAAGCCTATGATTGAATCTGGAAATAAAGCGAAATATTCCTCAGATGCCATGTCTGTAATTTATATCAAAACATCTAGCATTAATTCGATCTCAAACAATTTCATTAAAATAAGTTATTACTCCACCACGTGCGTGACGTCATAAACCAACGTATTTATACGACCACTTTGCGACAGTATGGTTTCGGGAAACAGTCGTGACTAGCTAGTTGATTTATTCATATGCAACGATATGGTAGTGAAGCATTAAGCTACGTCGTTGTACGGGAAACGCACCCCTGATTAGTAATAAGTGAACCTGGAAATGAGTTTGTGGAGTTGTTTAATATTTCTCTACTGAGATCTTGAGAGATTTAATGTCTTCTTTTTATATTCAGTTGATTTCATCTAAGGCTGTGGCTGGAAGTCAGTTGTAGTTCTTGTTTCTCTTTCATTCAGTGTGCTAGTTTCTTAAAGCGGTTTACCATGCTACTTTTTAAACTAATTAAATCATAAGTGAAATTTCCACAAATTTTATCAAAAGCTGGTTCTATATTGTTATCTGTTGACAAGCAGTAAGTGTGACTTATATGTACTGTATAACAGTAGTCAACAACTATTAGTACAATGACAGTTTGTACAGTATGGCTTGTTGGTACATTACTGACCAGGTGATTGCAATTTTTCTTTTCTTTTTCTGTGCTGTAAAACAATTCACAGAGACCTGTACACAATCTTCATGCACTCACCAGTATCATTTTGTGAATGAGTCTAAGACCTGGACTGAAGCTCAGAGACACTGCAGAGAGAAATACACTGATCTGGCCACCATTGATAACATGGAGGAAATGAACAGGCTCATTAAAACAGTACGTAGGACTTACTATGGCTCAGCTTGGATTGGTCTCTATGATGATCTGAGCAGCTGGAAATGGTCTATGGACAGTGCAACATTATTGGGAGGATTTAACAGCTGGTATGTCCAGCAACCAGTGAACTCAGGTGGACAGAATCTGTGTGTGTACATGTCATATTATTGGGGATCATGGAGTGAAATCTTTTGCTCCTATAGACTTCCCTTTGTTTGCTATGATGGTGAGAACTGCCGATTGACTTTATAACAAGTAATTAGAACAAAATATTGATGATTCCATGATCACATCACATATTTAAAATGTTTCCCCACAGGAAGAGTGAATGCTAGTGCAAGTTACGTGTTTGTTTACCAGTCCAAAACCTGGACTGAAGCTCAGAGTTACTGCAGAGAACATCACACAGACCTCGTCAGTATCAGGAATGAGACTGAAAACTACAGGGTTCAGTCATTACTTTCAAATTATTACACAATTTGGATTGGATTGTACAGAACCAGATCTTGGTCAGATCAGAGCAACTCTTCATTCAGTAACTGGACGATAGGGCAGCCAGATAATGCTGGAAACAGTGAATACTGCACTGCAGTGTCATTTAGTGACTCTGGGAGCTGGACAGATGAAAACTGCAATACTGCATTACCTTTCATTTGCTACAGTGGTGAGGAGCTAATAATAATGACAACCTTTAATTTTTTTGAACAATGTAACAAATTACAATAAGATACAGTATATTAGAACATCAAAAAATAAAGGGACACATAATTTCTAAATGTGTGACTAATTTTTTGGTTTTGTATTGTTACAATTTTCCTACCTTGCCAGCATTAGCATCATCCCGGGAGTATCACTTTGTGAATGAGTCTAAGACCTGGACTGAAGCTCAGAGACACTGCAGAGAGAATTACACTGATCTGGCCACCATTGATAACATGGAGGAAATGAACAGTCTGATAAACACAGTTAATGGGAGTTACAATGGCTCAGCCTGGATTGGACAGTATGATGATGTGAACAGCTGGAGGTGGTCATTGGAAAACAATGATTTCTATCAGGATGGAGAGAGAGATTTCAGGAACTTTTATCATGAACCAAACAACAATGCTGGGAATGAACTGTGTGTTTACATGGATTATAATGGAAACTGGTATGATTCATCATGTGAAAATTATTACATATTTGTCTGCTATGATGGTAAGACATTCCAATAGAACATTTATTTATATATATATATATATATACATATTTAGTTTCCTTCCTTAATCAGTAAGTCAGTCTCAACAAATGTTACTGTCAGTATTGTGGTAAGATCTCTAGAACCGTCTTAGCTTAGTTGGCTTGGATCAAAACCCCAAGTATACTGTATACTAATATTACAATTCTAAATGTAAATGGATTGTAGATATAACTGTATGCATTTAAAATATGGTTGACTAATTAACAAATTAACTGACTTGATTTTAAATGTATATTTTTATCTTAGGTAGTGAAAACGCCTCTCAGAAGTATATCTGGGTATATGAGGGAAGGACCTGGACTGGAGCTCAGAGATACTGCAGAGAGAAATACACAGACCTGGCCAGTGTGAGAGATGAGACAGAGCGTCAACAGATACGGAATGTTACGCGTTATAGCTATTATTATGGTTATGGTAATTCTGCATGGATTGGTCTGCACAGAAACAGACTGTGGTCAGATCAGAGCAGCTCTTCCTTCACATATTGGCTGCCATATACTCCAGGTGAGGTTGCACAACCAGATAATGGTGCAAATGTCCAAGGACTGCAGGGAGCTCAACACTGCACAGCTGTGTCTCTAAAATACTCTGATCAGTGGACGGATGAAAGTTGCTTTGCCAGTTTGCCTTTCTTCTGTTACAGTGGTGAGCAAATAACTTCTTTAAAGAAATAAAAGAATCAGGCTATAACACCCAAAAACAAGAAAATGTGGATGTAAATGTGGATTCTGTAAAATAAAAACAATAGAAAGATTGTATCAAACATGTAACATGCTAACTTTTTGCTAATGCAAGCTTTCTGTTTGCTTTTCGGTGACCCTGATGACCATCATCATATCAACACACCATTTCAGATGAGTATGGTATGTTTTTGTAGATATGTGATCCATTTGTTTCTTTAATTATCAATAATCTTAAAGGAGAACTCCGGCGCAAAATGAACCTTTGGTCTAATAAAACATTGGTACCTAGTCAACCGTTCTCTGAGATTTGTTTTCATGATAATCGAATGTAAAGAGTTTTATCTCTAAAAACTGTTTAGCGTATAACGCTAGTAATGGGGGCATTTAATAAGTAAAAAGAAATCGCTAGTTAATACCACTAACAAGGCTCAAAATAGCCCCACACGAACACAGTAACATAATGAGGGTCCCTACATGCAAAACGTAGCATTGAGAACTTTGTAAGTGTACAGACCGTTTAATAAGAAGATATGTTATAAAGACTGTCCACTTCGTGTATACAGACAGGAGCCATCTTTGGAAAACAGTCTCGACTAATCAAACTACGAATGACGTGCTAAGTGAGCTGAACTGTATGAAGTTCAGTGAACTTCTGAACTGTATGAATGGCGTTCGTGGTTTGATTAGTCGAGACTGTTTTCCAAAGATGGCTCCTGTCTGTATACACGAAGTGGACTGTCTTTATCTTTATCTTCTTATTAAACGGTCTGTACACTTACAAAGTTCTCAATGCTTCGTTTTACATAGGGACCCTCATTATGTTACTGTGTTCGTGTGGGGCTATTTTGAGCCTTGTTAGTGGTATAAACTAGCGATTTCTTTTTACTTATTATATGCCCCCATTACTAGCGTTATATGCTAAACAGTTTTTAGAGATAAAACTCTTTACATTCGATTATCATGAAAACAAATCTCAGAGAACGGTTGACAAGGTACCAATGTTTTATTAGACCAAAGGTTCATTTTGAGCCGGAGTTCTCCTTTAAAACATAATGTAAATTGTTACCGTTTTTGGTTACACTTTATTTCAATAGTCCACTTTAGACATTCTACTAACTATAAGTAACTTTTTAACATATCAACTAACTCTCATTAGAGTATTAGTAGGCTGTAGAAGACTGTCAGTAGACTGTTGTGTTAGGGTTTGGGTTAGGAGAATATTTTTATTTTATTTTTTATTTTACCTTTATTTAACCAGGTTGGCACATAGAGGACTCATTCTCATTAAAAACGGCGACCTGGCCAAGATAAAGCGTCAAGATGCAGACACATAAAGTTACACATAAAGGACAAGACAGTGTAATGCAGGTTACAAACAGTTATTCAGTCAAGTGGAGCATCGTACATAAGTAGGTCGAAGTACAATAGCTAGACAGTTTTCCTAATGGGACAATAATAAAAACATAGTAAGTTTTTATATATATAAGTTACATAGTAACTTATAGTCAGTAGAATGCGTGTTGGGGGACCAACAAAATAAAGTGTTAGCAAATATTAAGCAGACAGTCTACTAATCCTCGAAGGACCGTTAGTTGACATGTAGCTGCAAAGTTACTTACAGTTAGTAGAATGTCTAAAGTGGACTATCGAAATAAAGTGTTACCCAGTTTTTTTTTATTCGCTTTGGTGTTATTTTCACAAGTAAGGTGTACATGTACAAAAATACAAACTGATCACACTTGTAACACAGCTAGTCATTCTTTCAAAACCTGATCTCATGCTTTCATTACATACACATTTCAGTCCAAATAAACATTGTTTCAAACACAAGATTATTGTAATATGTAATTAGACCATTTGGTTTAATCACCGAAACATTCAGTTTAGTAGTTTTAACAATCAATTAATTCAACAGCAAACAATGCAAGATGCATGTTTCAATTTACCCTTGTTGCTGAAATAATTATAGTATACATACAGGCTACAGTTGCCACATTAGAAAATACACTTACATATATTTAATTTTTTTAAAGTTTGCATAGAGAGAACTTAAGAGTTCTCTGTTAAACGGTGTCGTGTTAGCGGCCCCTAAGTTAATAACTAATGATCGTTGCGATGGAAGTGAATCAATCACAACTAACTATAACTGGAACATAACTTTATTTTAGAGCTGCTGTAAAGCCAAAACAATCTGTTACTTTCATTTCCTATTATCACTGTAAAGCCGCTTTGGAACTGAAGCGCTATATAAATGAAGATGACTTGACTTGACATTACATAACTTATGTAATTTAATCCATAATGATTGTAATAGTATCCATCTAGTGTGTTATCAAAAGCTGTGATGAAGTTATGAAACTGCCATGAGGTTTTGTGCTAGAACAGAGTTTGCTGTCAATACATGTTTTCACTGTGCCATGTGACTGTATACTGTAGTTGACCTTTATAGATAAAAGGTGAGTTACAGTAATGTGGCAGTCACCATGGTAATCTGTTTACAGTATCACATGGCATACATACTGTAATGTACTATATTTTATGCCATCTATCTCCCTTCTTCTGATGCATCTCTGATCAATCTGATGTTATATAGTCATTGCCTGTTTCATCTCCTTTGTACTCTATCCTGCTTTATGTTGTATGTATGTAATACAAATTGCAAATCTCTCTGCCCTATAGTTATAGCCTCTGTCAAAATACTTTCTGTATTTTGACATTTTCAACAAACATCACTTAGTATGATTTATAAGCTGTTTTCCTCATGGGGGCCTATAGTACATGTCCCCACAAGGACAAATATTTCGGATATCGCCATCTTTGTAGAGACATTTTGTCCCCATAATGTAGAGTTTACCATGACACACACACACACTTTAAAAATAGTGGTTATAATCTAAGAAAAATCACTTATAATGTAAAAAGAATTCATTACATTTGGTTATCTGTATCAGAAATTACAAAAAAGTAGAAACTATATCTATAGGTGTACCAAATGGTATCCATGAATGGTTACATGGAAACTGGGGACAAAACTGGCTAAGCCCCAGTTAGATAGCCCAGGTCAAACCCATGTGGGCTTCACATGGCTGAACTAGCTGGGTTCCTACTCCTTTCCCTGGCAGTGTGGCTAAATCAGCAAAAAAGTAGAAACTATATCTATAGAATCTGTATCTATAGGTGTACCAAATGGTTTATTGATTAACCATTAAGATCAGTTTGATTAAATAATAGACAAATGTATTAAACTGAAGAAGAAGAGATGCAAATCAAATGTTTGATAGTAATGGCATTATGAAAGGCAGCTGAATGAAACATTAGAGATGCAAATCAAATGTTTGATAGTAATGGCATTATGAAAGGCAGCTGAATGAAACATTTATTGAAGAAAACAGTTATTTTGTGTTGTGAAAAGAATACTTAGTGATTTTGAGTATTGTATTAACACAATTGAAAACATGATAAAATGTTTGAAAAAAGTGCACTTTTGATGATCTGATATTAGCACTAAGAGTTTTGAAAATGTACCCCTTACTTGTGAAAATAGCATCAAAGCGAATAAAAAAACAAACAAAAAAAGAAAACTGTAAACTGTAGTACATAAATGTATGAATTATGACACCTGACTTGTTTTTTATTATTATTATTGATCAGTGATGGGAATGCGAGTAGAAGTTACAAGTCTAGAAAATTTGTCAGAGTCTCAGATTGAAGAGCTGGTGATTATACAGGTAAGTAACTCAACAGTTAAACCATTCATTTACCTACATGAATGAAAATTGATTTTTACATAAGCATATTATAACATATATATTATTTATTGACCACATAGCCTTCTATATAATCTTCCAACAATGCAATAAATACTTTAAAAATGTAATAAATGAATGTTATTACGACTGAATAACATATCAGCACATGGTAGGTTTGTCATAAAGCTCATATATTTTCAGTTACAAGAGGAGCTGATCAGACTTGGACTTCCCAACAACGTGACCATGCATTTGAGAGACTATCGTATGATCAATCCCTGAAGTTGGAGGACAGTGCTTTGCCGTTTCCAATAAATGCAGTTGTGGGCTCAATACTTAATCTAGCATGAAATTATACTATAATCTATGAAGACTTTTACAAATGAATGATCCAGATTTTGTTTTTCCAAAATGTTATGTCATTGGGATGTGTTGTTTAATGGACCTATTTAATCAGTGAAGGGGGTTATATAAAATACTAACAATGTACTATGTAGCTTGATTTTCAGTCAGAGATGGAAAATTATAACACAGTACAGTACAATATACTCATTATACTATTGTTGACATGAATGTGATATTTTGATCTGAATATGATTTATGGAAGATGATGATTTTGAAAACATGATTAAATGAAAACATGATTAAAATAGTGATCCTGGCAACTTCTTTTCAATCAATCAATCAACATTTATTTGTTAAGCACATTTAAAAACACCACAAGTTGGCCAAAGTGCTGTACATGTCTAAAAATTACTCAGAAAAAAAAACCCACTCAAACGTTACTCCACACAAAGCAATGGCTCAATATATAAGTCAAGTCACCTTCATTTATACAGCGCTTGTAACAATATAGATTGTTTCAAAGCAGCTTTACAGTGATAATAGGAAATTAAAATAACAGAGATTGTTTTGGCTTTACAGCAGCTCTAAAATAAAGTTATTGTCCAGTTAAAGTTAGTTTTGATTGATTCACTTCCGTCGCAACGATCATTAGTTATTAACTTAGGGGCCGCTAACACGACACAATTACAACCTTAAAACAGTGCCTGGTAGCTCGAGAACGCAAACCATGAAATAGGATCCAAGGTGCAAGCCTTAAAAAATTTATAATACAGAATTTTTTATCGCTTCCGCATATAAACCGGAATTATCCCCACAACGTTTTATCTGTACAGAGGTAAAGGAAAGGTAAGGAGGCCTTCACAGGGGAGAGACTAGTTGACACTTCAGGACTGCGTTGTCGTCGTGTCCAGGCGCAGGTCCTTCATCAGATCCGGATACGGCCTGGATCCGGCGGACTGCGGTAAACCTCGGGATAAACAGAGAGATTAATATTAGCGAAGATGCCATCCTTCTTATGATGTAACAAGTACATCAAGATTTATGGGAAGTGTTCCCGGTTCCATCTGACCTAATCTATGCAGCCTAACATTGAATCATAGAAGTCTATAATATGTTATGTGTATGCTAGGCCAAAGAGATGTATTTTTAGTCTAGATTTGAACTGACAGAGTGTATCTGCTTCCCGGACAATGTTAGGAAGACTGTTCCAAAGTGTTGGTGCTAAATAGGAAAAGGATCTACCGCCAGCAGTCGATTTTGATATTCTTGATGTTTATCAACTGGCCTGAATTTTGAGATCCCAATAGACGTGACGGACTATAATGCGTTAAGAACTCGCACAAGTACTGGGGAGCTAAACCATTTAGTGCTTTGTAAGTAATCAGCAATATTTTAAAATTTATACGATGTTTAATAGGGAGCCAATGCAGTGTTGAAAGAACCGGGCTAATATGGTCATACTTCTTTGTTCTGGTAAGAACTCTAGCTGCTGCGTTTTGGACCAGCTGTAGTTTGTTTATTAAAGGTATAGCGGAGGATTTTCTTTTTCCGGGTGGATCATCAAGACTATTGTTCCTCCTAGTTGTCAATCATTCTGGTGATATTCATGGTTATGAAAAAGCTGTCTGAGGATAAGCTGGTTTTACTACTTAAGTGAAAAAAAACCCAGCATTTAAGGGAAATCCTAAGTGTTTTTGACGTTTCTTAAAGAAACCTTTAAGTAATAATTTTTTTAAAAATTGGAGAGGGCGGGTCTTCTCTAAAATTCGGATAGATCCTCCGCTATACCTTTAAGCGTGCAGGGCAACCACCCATAATAGCATAATTGACCGTTCGCAGGCCCCTCCCACAAAACGGCCATTGTCCAATCACACATCATAGCAACCGTTACTATGTGGGCAGGTCCGTCAAACATTGACTCCAAGCAAGATGGTGAAGCGGTGCGCCCACGGCGTTTGTAAATCGGACACTAGGTACCCCGAGAGATTGTCTGGAGGAGTTGTGTTTTTTCCCTTTCCAAAGCCGAAAACACAACGTGAGTGGTGCCTACAATGGATAAAACAGTGTGGACGGCCCCACTTCCAGTTAAATGTGTCGAACATGGTTGACACGCGTGCAGCGTGCGTGAGACTGAGACACAGAGATTAGTCAAAGAAACATGGAGAAAGCAGATCAAGAGGATCCACAAAGGAATTACGTTTTTCTAAAGGGTTGTTGTTAACATGATATTCTCGGGGGAAAATGAGCAGCAGTCAACTAGCAGTACAGCACCTGTTTAGAGGAGTGCACGCTCGCAACGGGGAAAGCATGAAGCTTACTTGACAACATCAGTTCATATATTGTCAGGTTGTGTGCAGGTAGCTGAAGACGAGGACAAAAGGACTTCCAGAAATAGCTGATTTATTTACAAAATAAACTTCTATTAACATACAGGAACGAAATAACAAACTCCAGGAACTTCAGGGAAAACACAACCATTCAAGGACGACGACCAACAAACACTGAGGGAAAACACAGGGCTTAAATGAACAGGGACTAATAGGATAATTAACAGAACACAGGTGAAGGGAATTACTAATCAGACAGAGCGGGAAAACTAACAGGACTGAACCAAAAATCACAAAAGACGGGGGAAACAAGATCTCAAAACTGAACTAGTAACAGGACTAAACCAAAATCACAAATACAGGGGGAAACCAGATACCAAAACAGAACTTAAACACATAGAAACATGACAGTACCTCCCCCCTCCCCGAAGGCGCGTCCTCGCGCCGTATAACATCCAAAGGGGTGGGAGGGTGGGCATCCTGGACTCCAGGACGGTCCAGGCGGAGCAGGCTGGTCAGGGGACCAGGGCGGAGCAGGCTGTGGGCGTGGCCACGGCGGAACTGTCGGACCCTCGGGCGTCCAGGGTGGAGCTGTCGGCCCTCGGGCGTCCAGGGCGGAGGTGACCCTTCGGGTGGCCATGGCGGAGAGGACCCTTCAGGTGGCCACGGCGGTGAAGACCCTTCAGGTGGCCACGGTGGTGAGGACCCTTCGGGTGGCCACGGCGGTGAGGACCCTTCGGGCAGCCACGGCGGTGAGGACCCTTCGGGCGGCCATGGCGGTGAGGACCCTTCGGGCGGCCATGGCGGTGAGGACCCTTCGGGCGGCCATGGCGGTGAGGACCCTTCGGGTGGCCATGGCGGTGAGGACCCTTCGGGTGGCCATGGCGGTGAGGACCCTTCGGGCGGCCGTGGCGGTCTTTTTTCAGGCCTCCGTGGGTCTTTGGCCGGCCACGGCGAAGGCGTATAGCCCCCCCCAAAAAAAATTCTTGGGGAGAAGGACAGGCTCAGGATCGGGAACAGACACCGGCCCAGGAACAGACACCGGCCCAGGCTCAGCAGCCACTAGAACAATAACGGCCACAAAGACAGACACAAACACAGAAACCGGCTCGGGAACAGACACCGGCTCAGGAACGGGAACAGACACCGGCTCAGGAACGGGAACAGACACCGGCTCAGGAACGGGAACAGACACCGGCTCAGGAACGGGAACAGACACCGGCTCAGGAACGGGAACAGACACCGGCTCAGGAACGGGAACAGACACCGGCTCAGGAACGGGAACAGACACCGGCTCAGGAACGGGAACAGACACCGGCTCAGGAACGGGAACAGACACCGGCCCAGGAACGGGAACAGACACCGGCCCAGGAACGGGAACAGACACCGGCCCAGGAACGGGAACAGACACCGGCTCAGGCTCAGTAGCCACTAGAACAGTAGTGGCCACAAGGACAGACACAAAAACAGAAACAAACATTGGCTCAGGAACATCAGACACTGGCTCTGGCTCAGGAACATCAGACACTGGCTCCGGCTCAGGAACATCAGACACTGGCTCAGGAACATCAGACACTGGCTCCGGCTCCGGCTCCGGCTCTGGAACATCAGACACTGGCTCCGGCTCAGGAACAACAGATACTGGCTCCGGCTCAGGAACAACAGACACTGGCTCCGGCTCAGGAACAACAGACACTGGCTCCGGCTCAGAAACAACAGACACTGGCTCCGGCTCAGGAACAGCAGGCGATGGGCTCCGGCGCTGGTGGGTAGGCGATGGGCTCAGGTGCTGGTGGGTAGGCGATGGGCTCAGGCGCTGGTGGGTAGGCGATGGGCTCAGATGCTGGTGGGTAGGCGATGGGCTCTAGATTTATTTACAAAATAAACTTCTATTAACATACAGGAACGAAATAACAAACTCCAGGAACTTCAGGGAAAACACAACTATTCAAGGACGACGACCACCAAACACTGAGGGAAAACACAGGGCTTAAATGAACAGGGACTAATAGGATAATTAACAGAACACAGGTGAAGGGAATTACTAATCAGACAGAGCGGGAAAACTTACAGGACTGAACCAAAAATCACAAAAGACGGGGGAAACAAGATCTCAAAACTGAACTAGTAACAGGACTAAACCAAAATCACAAATACAGGGGGAAACCAGATACCAAAACAGAACTTAAACACATAGAAACATGACATATATCAATATCGTAACGAATAGAAATAACCTTAAATAATGTATGGTTATCTGCATCTTTCCGTCTCTTATGTATAGTTACTTTTTAAACACGAAAATCTTCTTCAAGGCTGTGCTGGTTGCATTTGAGGTAGCTACAGGTCATGGGGTTTCTCAAATTTCGCTTGAGACCGGTATAAGCATTTGCCTTGATAGTAGGCTAGTCGTGTCTCCTTCATTGCGTATTTTTATATTTTGAATATATCCCTCCACTGCATACTGTCCCTTTTGCCTCGATCTGGAGCATATCGCCGAGGTATTGCTCCAAAAAAAGGTCACTGACACGCACGGGTATACCTCTTCCCGTCATGGCAATCTGTCGCGGTTGTGTTTGACCATTTGTTTGACGGGCGTAGTAACAATAACTAGGGGGCGTGGCTTTTGCGAACGGTCAATTGTCACATGTGGGTTTTGTGTCTTGTTCCTTTGTTCTTGTCTGTCATGTGATTCCCTGTTTGTCATGTGAGCCTGCCATGTGTCTTGTCAATTGTTAATTGTCTGATGATTGTTCAAAGGTGTTCCTTGTCTTGTAATTAAGTCAGTGTATTTAAGCCCTCATGTTTGCCCTGTGTCTTTGTCGAGGATTGAATGTTTCTAGTGTATGTCCTGATCCTTGTTCTGTTTTCTGTTTCATGCCTGGCCATGCCTTTGTTTTGTGTTTAACGTAATGTTTATATTAAAGTTTACGTTTGGGTCCTCACCAGCTTGCCTCCAGTGAATTGATTCGTTACAA